GGGACAGAAGGAAGAGGCTTAGCCTAAAATTACATTTGTTAAAATAGATTCTAGGCTGCCAAATGAGGTTTTCTTTTTTTTTTGTTTTTTTTTTAATAGTTGTAGCATTTCTGAGATTTCTTGTCAGCAATGCATAGGAATCGCTGAACCTGTGTTCTTTACCCATGGTGACATGGAAGGTATGGCAACTAAGGCAGGGCAGATGAGCTTGGGGTTCGGGGCAACAATGACCCAGATTCAAGTTGTTCACAGTTTGGCCTCATTCATGTGGGGCATTTTAATCCACACCCTGTGCAGGACCATGTCTTACTGGCACAAGGATGCATAGGTGTTTGGCTTGTTAGGGCCATTTACCCGCACCCGCACGGATGTCATAATGGGAGCCGTAGCTGTGTCCATGCACTGGCCGTATCCCAATTCAAAGCTATGGGACTGCGTACCCCCATGTTGTTGTAGCACCTTCCTAGATAGCCTGGTAGATAGGTTCGGTAATTTAGTTTTGGCTCCTCTGTAATCTGTGGAACAGCTTGTGATTAGAGATGTGCATGATGAAAAAATGTGTTTTGTTGCATTTGTTATGTAAATCATTTTGTTTCATCATATTAGTCACGTGAGGATGATTCTTTTTCAGAATTAGTTTCAAATATTTGGATTCTTTTTGTATATTCATTGTTCCAATTTGATTCATATTTTTGGAAGTTATTTTGGAAGATTGACTACATTCGTCTAATGCAGGGGTGTCCAAACTTTTTTATAAAGGGCCAGTTTACTGTTTTTTAGACTTTAGGGGGGCTGGACTGTGCCCAATGGGCATAAACAATGACCCATCTTTGGTATTGGGGAGGAATAGTGCCCCATCATTGGTGTCAGTGTAAGGAATAGGGCCCCACCATTGGTATCAGTGGGAGGAATATTGCCTTGTCATTGGTGTCAGTAGTAGGAATAGTGCCCCAACCTTGGTGTCAGTGGGAGGAATAGTGCCACATTGTTTATGCCAGTGGCAGGAATTATGCCTCAAGGGCCGAACCAAGGCAAGCAAAGGGCCTCATCTGGCCCCCAGGCCACAGTTTTGAGACCACTGGTCTAACTTGTTAATAGATTACTTATGGACTCTGAGTCATCCCTGCTAGTCCAACTCACAATGAGAAATGTAATGAGTTGATTGGATGATATTGACTGGAGTCACATGCATCTGAAAGTAACGAATGGAACGAAATTCATTCCGGATTCGTTATGTTATGATTCAGAGATTCTGAAGGATACATCTCCATCCAACCCAAACACAATAAATAGGAATCATCTTATTTCACCTTTCTGTGTTTATTGCAATATGTTTTCATTTCATATGTAGTGCATTTTTTAATATTAATGAAAAATATTAATGCAGAAAGAATCAGCTGATTATCTAGGTATCAAAGACTACTGAGCCACTCTCATCCAAATAAATCAAATGAATCTGAATTAATACAAATTAATTAATTATGTTATTAAGTTAAATGTATTTCCTTATTCCCAACTTTATTTGTGGGGCCATGCACATACAAATTGAACGAATGATCTAAGTTCAACCCCAATACACAAATAATATTTTTAGAATATTCACGCTATGGTATTCACGAATGGATCTGAATCAATTCAGATCATAAGTTGTTGTTGTTACGTTATTTTGGATGCTCCAAACATTAAAAGGCCCAAACTATCGCATCATGTCATCTGAGTGAAACAAATGAATACAAATGAATTTGTTGTTTTCAATATAATTTTTTTTAGATTCTTGAAATTCGTTACTATTGTGATTCAGAGATTCGGATATATCCTAATCTCCAAATAACAAAAACATCATCTGAATTTCATTTTGTAACAAAATGAATTACTTATGTCTACTTGTGATTACTTTGTGCTGTTCTGGATTTCACCGATTGTAGGTTTGACTACTTCCCCCTACATTCTGGAGGATTCTGGAAAGTAGTGGGCTAAGAGAGTCAGATTTGCAGCCTGACTATTTATGTGGCCCCAAACAAATCCCGGGGGGGAGAGTGCTCAGTAGGTGGTTGGGGAGTGCATAAATAGTCTGAGGCCTAGGCCAGCGGGGTTCTTGTCCAGGAGAACTTGACAGCCTGAAGGGCTGCTGCCCTTCTGGGCAGTCCAACTGGACATCTACATGTGCTCATCGAGGTCCCAGCTGTGCTAAGGCTGGGGGGCCTATTCTTTTGAACCTTGCTGGAACTGATTAAGCGATTTCACTGAGGATGTGGTCTGGAGAGTCCATGGGAGAAATATGTGGCCGATATTGGAAGGAGGAGTCCAAGTATCCAGGGATGTTGTGAGTACAGACCTATGTGTAGGATCCTAGTGACTGTGTGCTGTGACTATCCCTTTGCTACAGTGCCAGAGCTTACTTGAATTGGGACATTTCCTGTGGCGTTGTTAAATCCCTTAGTTGCTGCTGAGGGATTGTTCTAAGAGACTTTGAAGTGTGTCCTTGTATTACTACATTGTGCTAATGGAGTTTTCCACATCCTCCCTTCACCCTATCCAAGTCCATCCTTAGTCCTCATTCACACTTGATGTTTTAACAGGGGCTGTTTTTTGGCTTTGTATGTTTTTTTCTACTGCTAGTAAACCCCCCAGCATGTTATACTTTGTGTCTATGGCATGCACACATAGAGTGTAATCAACGTTTTTTTTTGGCTCGGACATTTTTTGGCTGGAAAAAAACCCCAGGACTAGTGGGTTTCTAGAGGAGTTTTTTAGCTGTAAAAACACTCTAATGCTGAAAAACACTGAAAAATGTGGCAAAATGTGGTAAAATGCTGCAAACTGGTGTTTTTGGACTTTTTTTGACCAAAAAAAATTGTTAAAAAAACAGTAAAAACTGCAAACACAGAAAAACTCCACTAAACACGGAAAAACGTCTCTAAACGCTAATGCAAAAACGCTAAAAAAAAGCTGAAAAACTCACAGGTTTAACATGACTTTACGCAGCTAATGTTACCAGTGTTATCAAAACGTCCCGTGTGCATGGAGCCTCAAAAAAAGCATCAACAAAAGGTACCCCTAGACTGTTCATTGTGCCAGAAGAGTGACTGTTAGGGCTCGTTCACACCACATGTGCATGAAAACCAGGGTGGATAAAAATCAATGATTTTTTTAAAAATCAAAAAAAAAAATCGGATTTTTTTTTATTTAAATCGGATTTTTTTTTTATTTAAATCGTTTTTTTTTTAAATAAAATGCTTTTTGAGGAAACTATATTACCATCCCAAGGTTATTCCATCATGAAATAAAGATTAGTTTTTTAATTATGTAGAATAAGGCTGTATATGGTTAATTTTTTTGATACATAAATTCCATGAATCCATTCACAATGTCATGCTCTTCCAGAGGTTTTTGTAAGATTATTGGGCAGTTTCTCTGCCTACAAGATATTATCACAGATGCTTGGTTTACTTTTGCAGTTCTCAAAACTGAATTTGACTCAGCGGAGATCACATGCCTTCTTCTTCACAGCAAAAATGTTATAACATGAACAGAGTTAAGAAAAAGACCTTCATCCTAACTTCTACAAACCTATGAATACAGAATCAACCCCTTCACTGCTAAGTTTCAAGACGTTCAGTGAATAGAATAGAAACAATATTTTTCTGATTGTTTGGAGTGGAATAGATCTGCACAAGAAGAAAGTGAAACTAAGTGTGAGGAGGAAGGGGCTGACAATCTAAGTTTCTAAAATATATATATTTTGTTTAGCCAAATTAGTTAACAAACATGGATGTTTGTTTAAGCAAATAACATATGCTGGAATGTTATTGTTTCAGTTGAATAAATCTATTTAAATTGATTAAGGCAATGATTATTTTTCTCCTTCCTAAGTACAACATAAAAGTTGTCCAAATATGAATGATTTCTATTAATTGATAAAAAAATTAATCTGAAAAGTTATTCTAAAAATCTTCATCCTTGCAAGAATTAGTCTTTATGAGAAAAACTAGGATTTAAATCAAGCCTTACTGACTAGTTGATTTAAATCGTGATTTAAATCAGTTTGATTTAAATCAAATCCACCCTGATGAAAACAGAAATGCATATTTCACTTGCAGAGACATCAGTTTACAAAGTTTTCATGCGCGCCACAATGAGTTTTATACACGTTGCAGATTCCTGCAGAGAACAAATCTGCACGTGATGCGAGGTGAACAGAGCACATAGAGAGCAATTATTTCATTGCGCCCTTGCAGAATACATGAAAAACTGTCATCTCTGCACACTGGTGTGAACGAGGCCTTACAGGGTGCCTGGTGGCCGCTGCACTAGTTCAGGAAAAGAACCTGGGGCAAAACAGCGGGCCCATTCAGGGGTGAGCACTACTAATCATGCACCTCTTGGCCTTTGACCTATAGTCAAGTGGCTTAAAAGGGCCAATTTTGTGGATTTTCCTATGTACATGCCCCCTCCTCATAAAAGGGTTCCCAGCACCCTTTTGTCAGTGCTTGTTTTATAGGTTAAAAACATTTTTTTTTAAATCCCCCAAAAATATAAGTTTGGGGTTTAAGACTTTAGAGCTGTAGTTTACTGTTTTAGGTTTCTTTTTTTTTTAGGCAGGCATATTTTATTATAATATAATGTTGCTAGGGTCTTTTAACCTCCCTAGCGGTCTGATTATGTCAGTGTTTCTGTGCTCAAAGCGGTACATTGTTTTCAATGGAAATATTTTGTTTTTTTATTGTAGGTCTGTAATTTTTAGGAATAACTCACTGAAATCTGTCCGAACAAGAGTCTAGTAAACATCCCAGATATGATAACATTTGAAACACGAAATAATAAATTATAATATAATAAATAATCATAATAATATAATAATAATACATTTTATTCAATAATGTAATCAAACCAAAAACACTGAAATTTGAAATAGAGTGCCAAGTTCGCACATCACTGAGCTCAGTCGCAGAATCGTTTTCAGTGTCTGATGACGAATTTCCCCCACGAATCATTAGCACTCAATTCTGCAAGTAGTTCTGATTTACTATCGCTGTTCTCTAGAACCACTTTTGACCTAAAGGGACGCTTTTTGGATGCCATGGATGTTTATCAGTTTCCAGGCAGAAAGAACAGTAAAAAATGCAGGCAGGGCACAGGACAAAGCACTCGGGACAAAATGTATGTGAAATGGTTTGGTACAGTAATGTAATACTATCAGATTTAGTGTATTATGTGTATGTAAAATTTTGACATTTTGGAATCTCCCGCCGGTTCTGTCCCCCGTATGTCCCAACGCTCGCAGGGAACGGAACCCGGAAGACAGATGCCGGCATCGGCCGGAGGACATGGCCAGGGACTCAGCGGGAGGACAGCACGGGATCGCGGTACAAGGTAAGTGATCCAGGGATCCCAGAGTAACGCGGCAGTGTAATCCCGAGTGTAACTCGGGGTTACCGCTTCTGGTACTGAAACTTAACCCCAAGCTACACTCAGGAATAACGCCAGAGAGGTTAATCCTGTTTTTGGGGTCAGCAGCATAAATCTGTTACTGACACAGGCAAGGCTGGCCTTGTCTACAGTACATCATTGCACACAGTTTAGAGCAACAAATTGTTAAAGGATAAGTTCACCATTGGGAACATGTTACATGTTCCACCCGTTTTTAGGGGGGAGCATGTAACATGTTCCCATAGCTACAGCCGCGTGTGCCGCCCCCGCTCCCTCTGATAGCACGGAGAGAAGTCTAGCCGTAATATCTATCAGATATGAAAACAGCATGGCCATGTCATTCATTCACAGACTTCCGTGAATGAATGAACTGCAAGTCCCAACAGCCTTAGTACCATGGTACTGCTCAGTGCCATGGTAGTTCATTGAAGCTTCCTGCCAGAATATCTGCTTGTTTGTACATCCCGTATGGCAAGCAGACATTCTGTCAGGTCTGCAGGAGACCTGCATGGTATCAGCAATCTACTGATCACTGGTGCAATGCTTTCCAGGCTCCTTTGGACAAAAATGATAAATGCACATTTTTTTACCTGCAAAAAAATGTGCATTTATTATTTTTGTCCAAAAGGTGAACTTATCCTTTAAGCACATCAAACAAACCTCAATGTCCCAATAGCCATACCTGCTAATAAAGCTAGGCAATCTTCTTTATTATATCTGGAAGGTCTAAAAGCAGAGGCTGAGGTTCTTTTACCTTTGAGAGGCAGGGCACCTCTGCATTTTTTCTGGCAGTGGAGTGCTATAAATCCAGAGCATGCAGAGAAGATCATGGATTGGATAATCAAGCATTCCTCCTTCTCCCAGGTGCTGGATGCTAATTCAACGCTGTCATTGCTGCACCTGCAGCAGTAGGCCATTAACAAAAATTTGTATAAGAACAGGCTCTGAGGATCTGGGGCTATTTTCACCATGATTCAGAACGCATGTTCCATTCAAAGAGGTTGCCAGAATGGTGGTTCGACACAAAGCAAAGATCAGCAACACATTTCCTCTGGTCTTCTTCCTGCTGGAGCACACATAGCACACTGCAATAGTCCAGGCACTGGAGGCACAGCAGAAGGAGGAAGAGGATTCCAGAGATACGTTTGACCCTTCTCAAACCCTGACTGTTGGTCTAGTGAGGTGTACAACAGCCCGAGAGGCTGCAGCAATGGTACTCTCTGATCTCACAGCTGATATGTGTGAGAGCAGAGAGAACTGATGTTTACTTTTAGTTTCGTATGTTTACTATGTGATTACTGTATGCAGTGAATACCCAAGGTCTGCACTATGTACGTAGCGCACCCCCAAACTCTGTAATCTGTGTGTAACTCTGTGAACGCCCACTGTTAGTGAAATTTGACCACACGCACTATCTGATGCCGTTTGGAAGGTGTGTGTGTGGAGGGGAAGGGAGATTTTGGGGGGTCGTGGTTGAGTTCCTGCACCTATTTTCTCAGAAAAAAAGACCTGCTTATCACTATTACTATCTCCTGCCATCATTACCAACTTCTGCTGTCACTGCTGACCTGACACCATAACCAACTCCTGCCACAGATGCTGGCCTGCCACCATTACCAGCTTTTTCCAGTGCTGATAGCCTTCCATTACCATCTCCTGCCACTATTACCAGCTCCATCTACTGCTGCTGGCCTGACACCATAACCATCTCCTGCCACTGCTGCTGTCCTGCCACCATTATCAGTCAATTTTTGGATTAAAGCCTGACTATTGTTTGTCCTGTTCTAAGTACGACCTACCAAAAGTGCTTAAATTCTGTCTATGGAGTCAGTACAACATTCCTTCAAATACTCTGTGAAATATTTAGACTTGTGGATGTTTGGGCTGAAAAACTACATTTGCTGTGTCATTTTTAAAATGTGACCTACAAATTAGTGTTTAAATACTGTTTATGGAGTTTAAATAATATTCATTCCTTTTCAGTGAAAAAAAAACGTGACTTTTAATCCTGAAATGCTGCATGCAGTGTGTAATTTAGCAAATACAGTGTATAGGGTCTGTGTAATATTCCATTATATTTTTGTGAAATATATACACTTTATTGTGTATTTTTTGCCCTGAAAAGCTGCATGCAGTGGGTGACCTTGCAAATGCGGTCTACAACAAATTGTTTAAACACCATTTATAGAGACTGTACAATATTCCTTCCTTTATCAGTTACTAATATAAACGTTTTGTGCATTTTTGGCCTGAAAAGCTGCATGCAATGTGTGATTTAGCCAATGCTTTCTACAACATAGTGTTTAAATAATGCTTATATAGGCTGTTGTATACTTTTTGCTATTCTAGTGAAAAATATACACTTTGTTGTGGATTTTTGCCCTGTGAAGCTGCATGTGATCTGTGATTTAGCAAATACAATCTACAAAAGATTGTTTAAACACTGATTATGAAGTCAGTAAATTATTCCTTTTTTTAGTGAAAAATATACACTTCATTGTGGATAGTTGGCTTGAAAAACTGCATGCCGTGTGCCATTTTTAAAATGTGGCCTACTCCAACTGCTGCAATGCTAACTATGGAGTATTTCCACTGTTGTCTCTGAAATAATACACCCTAGTTTTTTATTTAATGCTAAATCCTGCCCAGTCTTTGCCTCTGAAGTTGTAGCATAGTAAAAAGATTGACAGAGTATGCACATTTCTGGCTTTTGTCTCAGAAAAATATACTCTAAATTCTATTTCACAATAAATCTTGCCTTACTATATCAAAAAAAAGACACGCTCACATTTATTTCATGCTAAAACCTGCTTTGTCTCTCTCCCCTCAATTGCTGCCCAATTAAAACAACTTTACATAATGTGCAGTGAGTCTGTATAATATTTCTGACTGTTTCCCTTGAAATCATACACTCTATTTTTTTACTTCATGATAAAAACAAATTAATCAAATTAGGGTGCTGTTGCTGTAATTAAGCCAAGCAATAACATAAAAGTAAAAGTAAAATAATCTATAACACGTTAAATATGTGATGCCAGAATACAGTGTCACTGACTCTTTCATGGAGAAGTGGATAACTTTGAAACACAGCATACAGCTTAATGGAATCTCCCAAGCATGCTTTAGAAAGAAATGGTGCTTTTCCTCCAATGCAGTTGTTCAAAAGGGAGGACCCTCTTTTTAATTTTAATTTTTTTGCATTGGTACAATCCTTTGTCTATTAGCCTTGAAAATGGGCAGAACCGATTTTTCAAGACTCGCCCCCCCCCATTGACTTCATTTGAGTTCAGATTAACATGTGTCATTTCTAGGAATTTTATATGGATTCAGCAAATGGCCTACAAATATAACCCAGGACACTTCACTATAAAGGAAACAAGACTAAACAGTGGGAGAACAGATACTACTTTGAGTCTAATGAGTCCCTAGAATTGAAAAAAAAAAAATAATAGTAATAATAAATTAAAAAACATACAATAAAATTTCCAAACAAGAAAAAAATAACATGTAGAAAAGGGGATACATTCGTATATATATATATATATATATATATATATATATATATATATAAAATGTATTTATTTACACTTGCAGGTTTGCTGGAAACTACATTATATGCAGGTAAAAAGTCTTTGATCTGCATATAACTAAAAAATAACTTCAAATATTTTCTTTCAATGTATGTATGAATGAAGACTGAAGTGTTTGTAGACTTTGTTCACACAAGAGTTACTGCCAGGAAGCACAGAGCGTGATGGTCCCTCAATTGCACTGGGCAAACCATGTGCGGCAGCAGAGGAGGAGGGACAAAGTAGGCACTTTGTATATTGATTAAAAAAGAGGGCATGAATAATACTAATAAAATTTAAAAAAAGACTATATGGTGTAAAGCCAAATTGGGTGGCAAACAAATTACAGACGAGGTAAAAAAGATGGAGGACTTATAGAGAACAGGTCATATCAAATGACCTGATATGAACATATATTGGCAGCTTAAGGTGACACAATAAATAATACATATTGACAGTACTGATTATTTCCCTGCCTTAGGTTTCCAATTTATATATTGGCCAGAAAGGTGGAATTGGCCTTTAATTAATTCCCCATTTACTGACAAGAGAAACTTTTTCATGCTACCATGTCCACTGTGAAAATTGCCATTAAGACCTGTCACGTCATATTAAAAGAGCTGAAATTAAAGGAGAAAAAGCTTAATGTGCTGGAGGAGATTTTCTTAGTAATAAATGTCTAGATCAATTGTTTCCCCTGTACCTCTGCATCTGCTTCTCCGCTCCTTTCTCCTGACTGACAAATTCACCGCTTCTGACGGCAAATTCATTACTTGATTTTTTTTTTTTCCTTTCCTCCTCTTTATCCCAGACAGCTTTGCGCCTGATCTGTCAGCCTCTTCCATCCTGATTATCTGGAGACGCCAATTTCAAAGAGACATCTTAATAGTGATGTCAACGAATTAATTAGATGTGTTAATGAGCTAAAAGCAACCCAAATTAAATTAATGCAGTAATAAGCACAGACAGCAAAATTAGCTCCAATTTCTGTAAATGACTCTGAACTGTACACAACATATCATCCTGCTAGTACATTACCATCCCCCAAAGCTAATCAAGAACTCCGGTGCAATTAACTGCTTAATTACAAAACACACACACACACACATACTGCCTGGAGTTCCAGCGGCAGATGAGAGGCTCCGTTCTACCTGGGAAACAGAGATATCGCAGACAAAATTAAACAATTTTCTAACATTCCCCAGCTGACAGAACAGCAGGGTTCATGACAGCGGAGAAGAGAGCAGAGATGGTGTGTGTTAAAGGGGAACTCTAAGCTCAACACAAAATTTAGCAACAATAATGTAATATAAGTGCAGGTTAACTCTATCTAGTTTTTGTTTTCTGATGTTAGGTTTGGAAGTAGTAAGATCTGGTCTGTTTCAGAAAATAAAGCCTGTATTGGATATTATGGGGTTGATTTACTAAAACTGGAGAGTGCAAAATCTTGTACATCTGTGCATGGTAACCAATCAGCTTCTAGCTAGTTCAAATAAGCTTTGACAAAAAAAAACCTGGAAGCTAGTTTCTATGCAGAGCTGCACCAAATGTTGCACTCTCCGATTTTAGTAAATCGGTCCCTATGTATCTTTTGTGGGATATTGTGATATGTACGAAAAACTAGCCAATGTGTAGCAAGTAAATGATTAAACCTCCCAGTTTGGGGTGGCGCTAGAGGGAGCTCTAATGATTAGTGTGACTTCAGGAGATTAACAACCAACCAGCTCACATTGAACTCAGAATGAGTAAGTGAGCAGCATGTGTTTTCTGTTCTCCTCTTGATACAGGTTAGTCACACTTGGTATATGCTATCTTTGTTCAGCTTTGTATTTGTTCTGACATTCACTTTTTCTTTTTAGTACCCTGTATGTTAGTAATGGTAGCACTCTAACACAAACTAGACCCTTCAGCTTTAAAGAGAAACTATATAGTTTGGGTTCAATGCCACGTTTTCTTAAGTTCACATTTATGCTTTTTAAACTGACGTTTTATATATATTTATAAATAAACATTTAAAACAGAGTTCACCCTTAACACAGGATTCCTAGAGAATTTCTTGATTTCTAAAGAGAAAGTACAGCAGAAGCTGTTTACTTTCAGATGCTCTGTCTCTGATTGAAACCTTGGAAAGAACTGTTTGGAGGGAGGGATGAGAAGGACGGGTGTCATTAATCTGACTCTTTCACTTTTATGTGCACATTTTATTGAGCTCGGCAAACAAGAGATTTTTTATAACAAAGAAGGAAAGGAGACACAAGAAAATATGAGCTGGTAGACCCAGCTGTTGGATGAAAATGAATAATAAAACAATATCAATATGTGAAACTTTATATTATCCTGGCTTAAACAAAAGAAAAAAATGAAATGTTATTTTCTAGTCTTGACCATAATAAATGTAAAAACATATTTACAAAATAAAAATTATATACTTCTTTTAATCCCCTCCTGCCTATTTTAACCCTCCACAGCTTTAATGGCTGCCATGTAGCAGTTTTACTGCCACAAGGCGGCTGCTCTGCGCACATTTTCCAGGTGGGGGGGCGCGCATCATTGACTCCTGTAGATGTCAATAACTGGTTCCCAGCCAATTATGCATGGCGATCGGTGGAGCAGCTGGCAGGAGATAGATCTGTGAGTGTAAAAGACACAGATCTCTCTCCTGTCAGTGGGGACGTGCTGGTTTTTAGCTCTCTGAAAAGCAGGGAGATAAAAACCAGAATGTCACCTAGTAACACACTACAGAGTACACAGTTAAATCACTCCCTAACACACATTTAACCCTTTGATCGATGTTAACCCCTTCCTGTTCCGGTGATTGAAGAGCATCTGGGGGGAGAACTGTTAGTAAACAAAACAGTTCTCTCCCCTGTCAGCTCCAGCACACTGCTTTGCATGGCTGTGCATATGGCATGCTGACACTTTTTAGGGGGCCGCCGCCGCCCCCCCCCCTTCCAAGGGACACTAAGTACAGGGGTGGGCAGGGGCTGCTGTTTCTTACCTGGCTCCGGTTCCACAACGATCCAGTCCAGGAAGCGCGGCTGCTCCTTCATTCGGTTCGGCTACTGGATGTTTGCGTGGCTGCTCGGCTCCGCCTCCTTACCGGTGATTGGCCGCCAGGCACACAGGCGGCCAATCACTGGCGAGGAGGCGGAGCTGAGCTGCCCCGCAAAAATCGAGTGAAGGAGCGGCCGGTATGTGTGCCGTACAGAGGTGCTGGCTGCAGCAGCACCATACTGGAACAGGGGTCAGCAAGTGTCATTGGTGTCAGTGGGAGGAATAGTTGGGGCATCATTGGGGCATTATTCCTCCCACTGACACCAACGATGGGGCACTTTTCCTCCCCCCCACTGACACCAACGATGGGGCACTATTCCTCCCCCCCCCACTGACACCAATGATGGGGCACTATTCCCCCCCACTGACACCAATGATGGGGCACTATTCCTCTACCCCCCACTGACACCAATGATGGGGCACTATTCCTCCCACTGACACCAATGTTGGGACACTATTCCTCCCACTGACACCAATGATGGGGCACGATTCCTCCCACTGACACCAAAGATGGGGCACTATTCCCCCCACTGATACTAATGATGGGGCACTATTCCTGCCACTGATACCAATGATGGGGCACTATTCCTCCCACTGATACCAATGATGGGGCACTATTCCTCCCACTGATACCAATGATGGGGCACTATTCCTCCCACTGACACCAATGATGGGGTGTTATTCCTCCCACTGACACCAATGATGGGGCACGATTCGTCGCTCTGACACCAATGATGGGGCACTATTCCTCCCACTAATACCAATGATGGGGCACTATTCCTCCCACTAATACCAATGATGGGACACTATTCCTCTCACTAATACCAATGACGGGGCACGATTCCTCCCACTGACACCAATGACGGGGCACTATTCCTCCCACTGATACCAATGATGGGGCACTATTCCTCCCACTGACACCAATGATGGGGTGTTATTCCTCCCACTGACACCAATGATGGGGCACGATTCGTCGCTCTGACACCAATGATGGGGCACTATTCCTCCCACTAATACCAATGATGGGGCACTATTCCTCCCACTAATACCAATGATGGGACACTATTCCTCTCACTAATACCAATGATGGGGCACGATTCCTCCCACTGACACCAATGACGGGGCACTATTCCTCCCACTGATACCAATGATGGGGCACTATTCCTCCCACTGACACCAATGATGGGGCACTATTCCTCCCACTAATACCAATGATGGGGCACTATTCCTCCCACTAATACCAATGATGGGGCACTATTCCTCCCACTAATACCAATGATGGGGCACTATTCTTCCCACTGGTGTGCATTGGAAGAGGGGTAGTCTTATACGGCGAGTATAGCCCAAACACTACATTCTAACAGGAAAAGTAGGGGGTCGTCTTATACGCCGGAAAATACGGTACACTTATTGGGATTTTTTTTACCAAAGACATGTTGGCTTAAATTTATGGAAAAATGTGATTGTTTTATTTTTTTTAATAGCGCAAAAAAATTAAAAACCCAGTGATTATTAAATACCACATATTTATGTGAAAAAATGATATAAATTTCATTTGTGTACAGTGATGAATGGTAATTGACAAAGTAGCGCTGAACCGTATAGCAAAAAATGGCCTGGTCATGATCAGGGGTAAATCTTTTTCCGGAGGACAAGTGGTCAACTGGGTCTGTCACAGTGCTCACATGAGCTCAACCAGAGGCTGGGAGCTGTTCAGGACAGCTCAGCCACTGTGCTAGGAGCACACAATGAGCGCACTCTGAGCACCCAGTGGTGATCAAATACCACCAAAAGAAAGCTCTATTTATGTGAATAAACGATATAATGTAATTTGTGTACAGTGATGAATGGCAATTGTCAGTTAAAGTAGCGCTGCGCCATATAGGAAAAAATGGCCTGGTCATGATCGGGGTAAATCTACCGGAGGGCAAAAGGTCAACTGGGTCTGTCACAGTGGTCACAGGAGCTCAACCAGAGGCTGGGAGCTGTTCAGGACAGCTCAGCCACTGTGCTAGGAGCAAACAATGAGCTCATTCTGAGCACAGATACCCAGTGGTAATCAAATACCACCAAAGGAAAGCTCTATTTATGTGAATAAACAATATAAATTTAATTTGTGCACAGTGATGAATGGCAATTGTCAGTTAAAGTAGCGCTGCGCCGTATAGGAAAAAAATGGCCTGGTCATGATCGGGGTAAATCTACCGGAGGGCAAGTGGTCAACTGGGTCTGTCACAGTGGTCACAGGAGCTCAACCAGAGGCTGGGAGCTGTTCAGGACAGCTCAGCCACTGTGCTAGGAGCACAAAATGAGCGCACTCTGATCACAGATACCTCAGCTGCCATGGACACGTGTGTGCAGCATATGGAGAATTAAAGGCTACCCTCCCTGCACCGCACAATTGAGTTACATGGTCGGCAAAAGGTTAAACTACAGTGCGGCAGTTCAGATATTACTATTCTGAAAGGATAACTTGAAGAAGAGATCCAGGGAGGACAGCATTAGGTATTCTCACAGATTTCAATATAAAGCCCATCTCTGGGTATATAACTACCGCCAACCGTCACCGCCCACTGCCTAATGATTTATATTTACATGTAATGCTTGATGAGCATTGTATAGGTCGCTACTACCAGTCCTGCAATCACCTGCTTGTACCCAGGTTGTTTATCATTTCCATCTGAATGTGAAGAGCACCTCGCAGCCTAATTGCCCAATATCACTAATTTCCCACGGGGGAGGGAAATGAATAGTGTTGGAGAGCGTTTCAGGCTTCTGATTATGTCCACAGACACTAATTGCACAGAGAGGCTGAGCGGGGAAACGGTGTGATGATGACTATTATGGAGAGATGGAGAATTGATATTGATGACAATCAGATGGAATGCTGGGAAGTGGCATCACAGCACATGGATTTCCGCTTCCTTGGCAAAAGGATCCTTGGACTGCTATGTCAGAAAGAGAAAGAAATAATTACCAGGAGCACATCGGTATTGAGCTGCTATGTCTGAGCTCATCCCAGGCAAAGCTGTCTCGAAGAGCCATGGAATGCTGTATACTCATTTAATTGCCTAATAAAACATAATATGCACATTATGAATTTTAATTTGTCATCTTGAAAGAATAAAACCTTTTTAAAGAATAAGTCTACTTTACGTATCCTTATTTACATAGATCCTTATGTACAAAAAAATGCACTACTTCAACTCACCCTTAACTACTTGCCCTCCTGAGGATTTACCTCCCCCCCCTTCCTGACCAGGCCATTTTCTGAGTTACGGCTCTGCGTTACTTTAACTGACAATTGCGCAGTCATGCAATACTGCACCCAAATGAAATCTATGTCCTTTTTTCCCCCACAAATAGAGCTTTCTTTCTGTGGTATTTGATTGCCTGTGTGTTTTGTATTTTTTGCGCTATAAAAAAAAAAAACAATAATTTTGAGAAAAAAACTATATTTTTAACTTTTTCCTATTAAACATATCCAGTAAAAATAATTAAAAAAATCAAATTTTGTCATAAATTTAGGCCAAAATGTATTCTGCTATATGTCTTTGCTTAAAAAAATTAATTGTAAATTAATTGGTTTACGTGCAAGTTATAACATTTACAAATAGTGGTATATATACTGGGATTTGTTTTTTGTTTTTTTAATTTTTACTAGTAATGGCAGTGATCAGTGACTTACAGCAGGACTGTGGGACTGTGGCAGGCATTCTGACACTGGGAGGAACTGACTTGGTGTCACTGACATCCCCAGTGACACCAATACAGTGAACAGTGCTAAAAAAAAGCACTGACACTGTACTAATGGCACTGGGGAGGAAGGGGTTAACATCTGGGGTGATCAAAGGGTTAACAGTGTGCTGTGTGCTGTTTTACAATGGGGGCTGTGTGTGTGTGTGCTTCACTGTAAGCACACTGCTTTGCATGGCTGTGCTGTGCCGGAGCTGGTGGGAGAGAACTGTTTTATTTACTAACAGTTCCCCTCCCCGTCGGAGATGCTCTTCAATCACCAGGCGCCGGCAAGTAATCACCCGGTGATTGACAGCCGCGAATGGTACCACGGGCAGGGTGCGCGCCGCCTACCCTGAAATGCGAAATCACGTATATATCCTTGATCCTCTTCTTTTCAGGTCCCTGTCAGTGCTCATGGCTCCTCCCCCTCGAGCAGTGTCCCAAGGAAAAGCTGCTCACCAAGGGGATGCCCATGCGTGCTCATCCCCGAGCTACTGCTCTATGCATCCATAAGTCAAATAGAGCCACGGCTCGGCCCTGCTCCCTCCTCATTGGCTCAGTTCATAAGTGCCAACTTCCAGGTTGGAAGATCTGGAAACACCTGGAAATCTTTCTGCTAGAATAGAAAATGCTAAATGGTGGGCCATGGTCTGCACCCGGACTGAGTGACAGACCACGGCCATGCCATTCAGCAGCTGGGTGTCCTCTCCCAGGTCTCCCACCCAGCTGCAGCTGTCATGCTCAAAGCAGGTAGTGTCTAGAATAGGGGTGGGCAACCTGTGGCTCTCCAGCTGTTGCAGGACTACAAGTTTCATCATGCCTCTGCAAGTCATAGCTATAACTGTCAGTTTTGCTATGTCTCATGGGAAATGTAGTTCCACAACAGCTGGAGAGCCGCATGTTGCCAACCTCTGGTCTAGAATATGGGTTGGCACCAACCCAGAATGGCAATGAAGATATACTACATATTTGCATATGTAGAGATACATAGGCTGCAAGGCAAATTTAGTGTTTGCTCCTTCTGTAATCAAAGGAACAGTGATTGTTTGGTCTGGCCTAGTCAGTGTCTCACAGGCTTGGAGTTTAACTGATTCCCCCATATCTGGAAGAAGCTTCCAAAGCTTAGGGCAGGAGATTCAATTTAACCAGGCTGAATTTTTATCAGGATCCAACCAATCCCTGAGGGGGAAGTGTCCAGAAGGAGGCCGGAATGCAGAAAAATAGTCTGAGACACTCAAGAGCAGGGTTCCTTCTCCCCAGAAGGGCCTCAGAGCTACCAGGACTGCTGCCAGGAAGCCCATGAACTAAACATCTGCTCTAGGAGGCCTCAGAGGTTATAGAATCAAAACCAGAGATGACTGCAAAACCACACCACAGGGCGTCCAGTCCTGAGAGGTGCTGTCTCACTCATTGGGTTGTGTCTGGAGGAAGCTGGGAGGAGGCAGCTGTCCTGGGAACCTGTGAGTAATCACTGTACGTTGATCCCAGAGTCCTGAATGCTGAACCAGTTAAATTCAGTGGCCCCTGCAGGGGTGGCGCCACACACATATACCGTAATATTATTTAAAGTCTATTTATTTCTTTTTCTTTCCTTAGATGTGTTAATGCGGTCATCTTTATGCAAATAGGGCCATCAATGTGTGATAATGCTTTAATTACTTTGTTTCTATTTTTATTTTTAATTATATTCGTAAGATGGTCTCAGCTACATTCTACATTTGTTTATATCGTAAGCAGTGTGCATCCTACCCTATTCTCATGGTAAAAAAAGAATACAGGAAGCAACATGAAGTTTGAGGCCTCATTCAGATGGGTGAATGTCTGTCTATGGGGGCACAGCGGCTGCACGGACACAGCTGCACCATCCCAATTTGAAAGCCATGCAGGTGCAAGTGAGTGACCCCAAATGCAGACTGTCTGTGGCTTTGTCTGTGCAGCCATTCCAGCTTAGTAACTCACTCCCTCCTGGGATAGCTGTGATGTAGCAGACAATCCCAGGAGGCAGAGGGGCCCAACCTAGGCAAGAAACCAGGAAGTGCTGCCTTGCAGCACAAAAACGTACCATAAATTTAAAATTATAATACTATTTTTAGCATTTGTGCAAGAGGGAGAGGGTAGGGACAAAATAGTGGAGTCTTGTTTTAGTGAGTTAATTTCTGCTTCAAGTCACTTGTAGTGAAAAGTTACCTTCCCACTTATGTAACTTTGCAATATATGAGTCTAGGCAGGGGTTAATTTTGGTGTTTTTAGTGTTCCCCTTTATTCAAAAAAATTTAACGGAACGCTTTTTAATCACAGTATAGCATCAAGTCAATTAAACTCCTGGGATATTGATCTGGTCAGTTAAGTAGCAGAGGGGGTTGTTAATCAGTTTCAGCTGCCTTGGTGTGTTAATGAATGAACAACAATGAGACAACTCCCAAAACAGGAATGGCCACTGACATTTTTTCCCTACTCACCTTTTCTGACTGTTTTTCACTAGTTTTGCATTTGGCTAGGTCACTACTGCTAGCATGAGGTGATACCTGGACCCTACAGAGGTTGCACAGGCAGTCCAACTCCTCCAGGATGGTACATCAATATGTGCCATTGCCAGACGTTTGATGTGTCTCTCAGCACATTCTCAAGAGCATTCCAGGAGACAGGCAGTTACCCTAGGAGAGCTGGACAGGGCCATAGAAGGTCATTAACCCATCAGCAGGACTGGATATGCTCCTTTGTGCAAGGAGGAACAGGATGAGCTCTGCCAGAGCCCTACAAATGACCTCCAGCAGGCCACTGGTGTGAATGTCCAGTAAAAATACTGCCTGAGGGCTCGACGTCCTCTAGTGGGCCCTGTGCTCACTGTCCAGCACCATAGAGCTTGATTGGCATTTGCCATTGAACACCATTGAAGCAAATCCATGGAGGGACATACAGACCTCTACATGCTAGACAATGGTACCCTAATTGCTATTAGGTATAGGCATGAAATCCTTGGACCCATTGTCAGACCCTATGCTGCTTCAGTGGGTCCTGGGTTCCTCCTGGTGCACAACATTACCTGGCCTCATGTGGCGAGACTATGCAGGCAGTTCCTGGAGGATGAAGGAATTGATACCATTGAATGGCCTCCATGCTCGCCTGACCTAAATCCACTAGAACACCTCTGGGATATTTCGGTCCATCCAACACCACATTGCACCTTAGACTGTCCAGGAGCTCAGTGATGCCCTGGTCCAGATCTGGCAGGAAATACCCCAGGACAACATCCGTCGTCTCATTAGGAGCATGCCCCGATGTTGTCAGGCATGCATACAAGCATGTGGTGGCCATACCAACTACTGAGTACCATTTTGAGAGAAATTTCAACCAAATAGACTAGCCTGCTGCATCATTTTTTCACTTCGATTTTCGGGGTGTCTTTGAATTCAGTCCTCTTCAGGTTGATAATTTTAATTTCCATCAAACAATTGGGCATTCTTACATTCCTAACACATTACCCAGTTCATATCAGTATAGATATCCAGCATTATATTTTTACCCATTGAGATCTGATGTGTTTTCAAAGTGTTCCTTTAATTTTTTTGAGCAGTGTATATTGTCTGATTGATCCATAGATATATACTTTAAATCTTTTTTATTGCATTGTTCATATTTTGTATGTCTAGCCGATTTAACATGTGCTTCAAATTAGTTATCTTTTTCATTTGTTAAATTTGTCCATTTAACTGGATTTGATTATATCTTTGTCAAACAAACGAATGGAATGTAATTCTGTATTTGTAACTCATTCAATAGATAGTATGTAAAAAAAAAAAAGAATTGAAGAATTACCATTCTGTGGACCGTTGCAATCTGTTTACTACTGAAGAAGTTCAGAAAAGTTCAAGTTAAGCAATTCCTTTCCTCATTATCGTCTCAGTAGGGGAAGAACTGTGTTTACTGATTGTTGTGGGTTAACTTCAAGTGAAGGGTGACAAAAAAGGTACAGTAAATGGTAAAGTGTCTATGCAAAGCTGGTCAGCTCAGGAGCTGGTGGGGGGTTAGGGGACTGGAATTACGTTCCTGGCAGTGAGAAGTCCCCACTCAGGTATCATGCCCCTGTGGGCCATGAGGCGGGTGGTCCTTACTTGCCTTGTGCGTGACTGTAATCCCACAAGGTTCTCGGGCTATGGCGGGCAGTGTGAATGGGGTCACTTGCCCTGCACAGGGGGTACCTTTTCTGTGCACACACTTATCAATGCCATAAGGCAGCAGTAGCATTCAGGTAAAATCAACCTTAAGGCAGGCCCTGACTTACAGATGAGCCATGCACTGTGTGTAGTATTTAAATGTACAGACCATCTCTGTGAAGTGCTGTGTCCCAAAGCACAGACCCCCTCGCTACAAGAGGGCAGCTTACACAGGTACCCCGCTATTTACTTTACACCAGTCCTTTGGCTACCCTTAGCAACTACTCTCCTCCTTCACTCAGATGCTGAGATAACCTTTTGCAGCTGACTTGCTTCCCACCGCTTATGTGGCTTAACTGACAAAAGTTAGCTTAGTTGCCATCATGTACTCCTTTAATAACTTCAGACCAGCCATAGAAAAAGTTTAACAACGTTACTGAAAGTTCAGTAATCAAACATGATAAAGTGCAACACAATTCCAGAACATCCTATCCCTATCTAGTTGTTCTGATTCGTGGCTGCCCAGGCATACCTCAAAAGGTGTTAGTCCAAAACTGGTACAAGTCCATGCTTGGCAGTTCTTTATAAATTATCGCCATCTTCAGCTGCACTGCAGGGCCCAGCATTCCCCCCCGCAAAACACTACAGTATCCACAACCCAGGAGCATTCAATGATCCAGGACTCTGAAACAGACCGGATCCCAAGAGCAAACGGAAGCGGAGGACTCTCGGGACCCAGCCTTCCCTTAGCACAGGGCAAGTAGACTGGTTTCCAAAAGCCTGGGAAAAAGGAAAGAACAGTTTAACCTCTTCCGCTGGCCTGGGTCGTCCACTGTTCACTAACTAAAGTAGGCATCCAGCCTACACCCCAAGGGGTCATATG